ACTGAGTTTGAGCCTGGTTTAGATCACCATGGTAACAGAGACTGAGTTTGAGGCTGGTTGGTTCACCATGGCAACAGAGACTGAGTCTAAGCCTGGTTAAATCACCATGGTAACAGAGACAAAGTTTGAGCCTGATTTAGATCACCATGGTAACAGAGACTGAACTCATCACCTGCTGCTCCAGACCAGGTGATGAGTTAAACTGATGCTCTCTCAGAAGCTCTGTCTGTGAACTAACTATTTTAATAATGAAGTTCAAAATAACTAAATCAAATTAAAATTATCTTAGTGGAAGATTCTGGCATGAAAGGCATTAAGCGTCTATTTTATTCTTTTTTTTAATTTTTTATATTTTTAATATTTTCTACACTGTTACTATGTATGTAGGTATAGTGACTGACAAAGTCAAAAGCTAAGCTAAAGCAACAACAAAACAAATGCATTCATTTAAAACAAAACAACACCAAATAAACTGGTCACTGACTCTGCTTACACCTCCAGCAGCCTACACAAAGTGCTTCACAACACAATCTGTGCCCTTGTTTACTTCTACACACACATTTATTCAGTACTCTACTACATCTCTGTGAAGGTAACTTGTTCTGTAGAGTCGTCCATACACTGACGGGGAACACCAGATCCAATCAGGGCTTCAGTACTCAGGAACAACAGCTCAGAGACTGGAACAGAGCCCAGTCTAAAAGCTTTTCTGAATTAAAAGTTGTTGAACATACATTGAAAAAGTGAAACAGAGTGTGTGCTGTGCTGATAGGAAGTAGTGCGAGGGAGTTGTTACCTCCTGGCCGGTCACCAGCAGGATACTGTCTTCCTTTCCATGTTGCACTTGTCTGAAAATGTGATCCAAGACCAGAAGTTCAGACCAGCAGTTGTGAAGCAGCTTCATTTGATCTCCCACCTTCAGGAAACACACGTTAGAAAACAAAAAGCGTTTAAAATGTGGGATAAAGGAAAATAAACACTATCTGACATTCTCTATATTTAAAGATGATTTATAATCGGTCAGTAGCAGAAGGTGCAGGCAGACTGGTCTGTGTTTGATTGTGACCACAAATATCTTCTGAACCAGTGAAACATACACAGTAATCACTGGATCAATGTCTACAACTGCCTAACTTTGGAAGTTAAAATTCAAGATGGCTACCACAGCAGATCCACCTTCAAAACTATCGTACCCACCACTGCACCCAGTATTCACTGGTTAACTGGACATCATTAACTTCAAGCAGACTCTCACTGGTACATTTTCATCTTTAAATCACTTCTTGGTCTGCTGCCTTCATACATCTCCTCCTACATGTCTCTGCGTGAGTGCAGCTACAGTGTGCGCTCTCAGGACATCATTACCTGCAGTGTTCCCTCAGTGAGGACTGAACTAGGCAAAAGGGCCTTCTCCTACTCCGCTCCTGTTTCCTGGAATATCTTACAAAAAGATTTGAAGCTCTTGACCTTGACCTCTCTAAGTGTCTTTAAGAATCTGTTGGAGTCCTGGCAGGGACCAGTCTCTTGTAAATGAGTCCTCGAGGCTCAATGGGACTAACCTGTCTAAATAAAGGTTGAATGAATGGAAAAAAAAAACACAAAAATGGCTACAACTCAGTTTTACTGATATTGCTAACATACTGCACATAAACTTTGTTTAAAACTTTTCCATTAACTATTTAGTCTGTCTGATAGAAAATGATGTCATGAACCACTGGATGCATTGTAATGAAAGTTTCAGGAAATAAACTTTGGATGAACTCCTTCAACTGATGAACATTTAGAGCCAACACATTTCACAATGACGCCACAGACAACACGATTCAGTAAAGTCAAAATGTTGTGTTAAGACTTGTTCTGATAGTACCAGTAGTTGAGAATATTTCAAGTGCTCTTTATTGTACGTTCTTTCCTTCAAACTTTAGTCTGTTAGTTCCAACCCTGTCTTACTGTTAGCAAAATATGTGATGAACCACAGGACAAATTTTGACGACATTTTTAGAAAGATACTGTTAGATGCACATCAATTCAATTCAATTCAGTTTATTTATATAATATCAAATCACAACAAAGTTGTCTCAGGAACTTTACAGGAACATTCACATAAAAGCCAATTAGTAAAGTTCTCTATCTAAGGAATCCAGCAGACAAGTTGAATCTTGGCTTCATTGCAGTCTCTCATCCTGAGCAATAGATTTAGAATGATAAATGGTAAATGGACTGTACTTATATAGCACCTTTCTATCTTATTTCAAGATACTCAAAGTGCTTTACACTACAATCTGTGTCCTCATTTACCCATTCATACAGCTCTATACTAGATCTCTACAAAACTAATTGAACAAATCATTCTAAAGAGACTAATCAGAGCTTTAGATCACATTCATACACTGATGGGACACACATCGGAGGCTATGAGGGGTTCAGTGTCTTGCCCAGGGACACTTCAGCACATGACTGCTGGTGGATTCGAGCCCCCAACTCTGGAGGACGACTGCTCTAACCACTCAGCCACAGCCGCCCAGTAGATGGGTATGAATGAATATAGTAGCATGAGATAATCAGCAGCACAAGATTTTAATTTTTTTCATTTACCCTTTAGAACTCATTTTCAAGAGAGACTTGTTTAGGGAGCAGATGGGGGTTAAGGGCCTTGCTCATGGGCCCAGGGTGGGGCGAATGAGGGTGGGGGCAGGTGTGGGTGTTTCACCTACCCCACCCACATTTTTGATGTTGTCGGTACCGGGGCTTGAACCGGCGATCTTCCGATCACAGGCCCACCTTCTCTAACCTCTGCGCCACTATTCCCCAAATAAACATTTAGAGTCAATTTGTTTCAACTTGACATCCACAGCTGACATTTACCAACACAAAAATGGCCGTAGCTCAGTAACTTTGACTGATACTGAGCTTAAACATGTTTGGTAGTAGCTGAGCATCATCCACACACAGAACTCTACATGTTACGATATCACAGAAGATTGCACACGCATGTTAAAGGTTTGTGCAGAACAGCAAACTCAGTCACTCCCACCATGAAATGATAGTCTAATGAAACTGTGGAAGGCAGCCGGCCGTGTGTTTCTTCAAGGATAGGCCCAGGCCTTTAATTGTCCACCATCACAGAGTGAAGAGGGGGAACTGGAAATACCCTCCATATTTTCGTGCATCCGTGCATGTTGTGAGCACATAACTTGAAAACATGAGCAACATACCAACTTCCATTTTGGTGTGTGGTCAACTGCATCAAAAACATTAAGGTGTTCTTGCATTAACTGCTCTTTCCTGTCCAGAAAACCCTGAAACTACCAACGTTGGGTGTTGTGTGGGGGGGGGGGGGGGGGGGGGGGGAGGGTATCAGCGTAGCTTTTATTTATATGTAGGAATAATTTATCCGCCTCATTACCTCTTTCTTGTGGGGTCCCACAGGGTTTGATTCTTGGACCCCTTCTGTTCTCACTTTATTTGCTCCCACCGGGGTCCATCGTGAGGAAACATGGTCTTTCATTCCATTGCTATGCTGATGACTGCCAGATCTACCTGCCTGTGAAACCAGCAAGTGTTTGCTCCATTCACCCGTTATGTCTGGATGACATTAGGGTCTGGATGACTTCAAATGTTTTAAGTTTTAACAATAAGAAGACCGAAGTCATTGTCTTTAGCCCTAGCTCAACTGCCACCACTGATCCTGTCAACCTGGACTCTCTTCAGCCATATCTTAAGCAGTCTGGCAAAAATCTCGGTATGGTTTTAGACTCTGACTTCAAGTTTGACAAACAAATCAACTCTGTTCTGCAGAAAAGCTTCTTCCAACTAAGACATGTAGCTAAGCTCAAGCCAGTGTTGTCCAGACCCGACCTTGAGAAACTAGTCCACGCCTTTGTCACGACCCGATTGGACTATTGCAACGCACTGTATGCTGGGATCAGCCAGGCCTCCATCTCACGTCTTCAGCTCGTCCAGAATGCTGCTGCTCGGCTTTTAACAGGAACTCGTAGGTCTGAACATATTACTCCAGTTCTGTCCTCCCTTCACTGGCTCCCTGTTCCTACGAGGATAGTTTTTAAAATTCTTCTGCTGACCTTCAAATGCCTAAATGGCCTCGCACCCCTTTACCTCTCTGAGCTTCTGGAACCTTACGTTCCCTCTCGGGCCCTGAGATCATCTGATCAGCTGCTTTTGGCTGTTCCAAAAACAAGACTGAAGCTCAGAGGAGATCGGGCTTTTTCAGTCATGGGCCCCAAACTGTGGAACAACCTGCCCCCCAACATCAGGCAGGCCACCTCCCTTCAACCTGCACCCCCC